CCATCTCCGCTCTTCGATAATGTGGACGAATGATGTATATGTATGTTTAAATGGAGAATCAAAGAGTACAATTCCACGGACGTTTATACACTCCCTCGTCTCCCCTTCCTCCGCCTTCGTTCGCCTCTTTCCCTTTCGTTCGCCGCTGCGTCGTAGCTGCTATTCATTTGCCACTGTACTCTATTTACCGCTGCTGCTACTGTTGCGCCCCTTTTTCTTGGTCTCGCAATGTGGCGCAAGAGCACCACCAGCAAGCCCAGCACGGACAACGATCGCGTGAGCGGGGGCGATCCTGCAGCTGCAACCGCAACCGCATCTGCACGTGTCACCGGCACCACGCGCAAGTGGCCGCTGCGCTCGCTCTTCCCCTCCGCCAGCCAGCCATCGCAGACGACCCTTTCGCGGCAGTACCAGCTGCACAAGAAGATGGATACGGTAGAGTGCGATGATGATGACGATGAGGACTGGGACGCAGTGGAGCCCACCCGTGCCGCAGCTGTCAAGAACCCCTCATCTACTGGTGGTGCAACTGCTGTGGCCGTCATCCAGCCCTCCACGCTGCACACCAGCGGTGGCGATGATCCATCGGACGACCTTTCTGCCTCCGTCTCTTTCGCAGCTGCGCAGGTAGTGGCGCAACTGCCTGGCATGAACCACGTCCGTCAGCGGCACGGCGGTCCCGCACCCGTCGGCCTCCGCGGGTCCTTCAACGGTCTCAGTGCGCCGGTAGTGACCGCGGATGCTAACGACGCAGAGGAGGAAGACTGGGGTGCGCCCGTCAAGCCTACTACATCAGCCCTGCCCGCAGCCCCCGTGGCCGCAGCACCCATCGCCGCCGTCACGTCCGAGGCTGCTGATGCTCTCCTCATTCCTCCTCGCTCGACGACGACGACGACACGCACCGAAGAGGAAGATGACAGCATTTTTGTGTCGGACGACGCGGCCGTCGTGCATCACCGCCGCTTCCCAGCTCCGGCGCACACGAGTCTTTTCGACATGGCGGTTCTGCCTTCCCCGGCCACGTCGTCTCCGCTGCTCCCTCTCAACATTGCCAAACCCCATGAAGGGGTAGCCCCGGCAAGTCCTCCTGCTCCATCGTCCACCGCTGCCGCCTCCGTCGCATCGTACGCACCAGCACCGGCTGCTTTTCATAGCGGCATTCGTGGCCTGCGCACCTCGCGCGACGGTGGCGGCGGCGGCGCCGTCGGTGAAGCCGCCACGCTCGATCGCGGAAAGAAAAAGAAGAAGGGCCTCCGGGCTGTCGCGATCCTTCCCTTCTCGTCTCCCAATACCCCCGCAGCTACACCAGCAGTTGTCGTATCGGGCAGTAGTAGAGCCGAGAAAACCAACGAACAGCAACCGCAGGAGCACAGCGGGGGTGCAGACTTATTATCTCAACGAAGAACCCAAGAGGCGGAGCGGCAGCGTCTGGTGGCCGAGGAGGCGGAGCGGAAGCGTCTGGTGGCCGAGGAGACGGAGCGGCAGCGTCTGGTGGCCGAGGAGGCGGAGCGTGCACAGGTGAGAAGTGACGGTGTAGAAGCGGCGCGCATCGTCTTGGAAGCTCTGTATGATCCTTCATGCGAACATGAAGTGCGATACGCCCGTCTCATCCCTTTAACGCAGAAGCTGTCGAATGCTGAGCAACTCCTCTTCGGTGGCGACGCGGTGGCCGTGGATGGCGACGCCAACCCATTCACCTGCTACCGTGAACTGCTGAGATGTCTGCTGGACAGCGCGACGCTGAGCACCACCGGTAGCACCGACTCGACCGTCATTGAGCCCCTGAGATTGGAGAGGGCCGTTGGTTCAACGTGTGAGACGTGGTCAAGCGTCTCCGCGGGCTTGCCCTCTGCGTGGAAATGCGCCTGGGGGTCCGCCGTCCAACAGCTTACCTCTCTTGCGGCCCCGAAGGAGGAGGCGGGTGATCGCGGGCCAGAGGAAAATCCCTCTTGGATCCCCGCTCAGCGGATTGCCGCGGCGCTCACCGCCCACCTCACGCGGTGTTCCCGACAGGTTGCGGTACAGGGAAGCTGTTCCTTTTCCCTCGTCGACGTTCACGCGTGTGTGATGGTCGCCTTGCGGGAGGCGTTGTCATTGCGACGTGCGTGCTCACCTGTGCAACTGGTGGGGGCGGCAGGTGAGCCCGCGTCGTGGGTGCAGCCGCTCCTGGGGTGTGTCGCTCAGGCAGCTCTCCTCAGTGATGGAAAAATAAAATCGCGCGCCATTGTCCCCACTAGCCCGTGCAGAAGCGGTCAGGACGGCGAGCGTGCTGGAGACGCGGTACGGCGTGTTCAGCGGCAGTTGCGGGAAGGCTCGTGGGTTTTGTGGTACCTTCTGCGTGTGGTGGGACTCATGAGCTGGTGGGACGCGGTGGAGTCAACGTTGGCGCAGAATGGAAAGGCGTCGTCAGACGGTCTGCGTGTGTAGACTTCGTTCTTTGTTTTGTTTTTTGCCTCTTCGCACCGCAATATCTTCTGCCGTCTTACTCGGCTCCCTTTCTTATACTTCTTTTACTCGTATTATCTGTTGCTTCTTTTTGGGGGGAGGGGACTCTCGAATAGCGTCTTTAGCGCTTCTGCGGGGATAAGTCCCGCTTTCCTCATCTGTGTTTCCTCTGTTCACTCTTCTAGGAGACTCCGCTGCCGTTGACCGTGTCAAGAAACCGTAAAGAGATGCGAAAGATGCCGCGCTGCGGTCTGTGCTTGAAAGGAAGGAAACGCATTAGTCTACGTTTCCCGTGTTTGCAGCCGCAATCGTGTTGCTCTCCGCCATCGTCGTGCGATTCTTTGCCTCTTCCTTCGGCTTTTTTTTGCGTATCCACTCCTATGCGTCATCAAACTAGCAGCTCCATCCAGGACCACCTGAGACAGCGTAATCGTGCGCGTGCCTCCTTTCCCTTGTTGTTTGCTCTTCTCTTCGGCTGGATAAGGAGGGGAAAAAAAAACCTGCTGAACGGCAGAGGGGGGGTGCGTTGTAGCTCGCTTTCACGTTGCCTGATCCTCACTCGTCTGTCCTGCTTTTCCAAAAGCCGCACACGCGGTGCAACTGATTTCGATGCATTCCCTGATTCAACAACAAGATAGAAACAAGAACGGTCGACTTCCAAAATTAGAGTTAACCACGTCCACAAAAAACGCCTAGAAACGCGGCACAGCAAACACGCACGTAGAACGAGACATACATATATACATCTGTACACACAAACACACACACAAGCTGAGAACGAGAGAGAGAGAGATCGAAATCCACATGTTTGCGGCACTCCGCGCGATCGGGCAAGCAGGCGCGGCCTCATCACGCGACCCGCAAACAAACACCAATGTGCAAGGCGCCTCTTCGAAATGGAAAGGTGAAGGAATGGAGGAATGGATGGCAGCGCAACTCCGTCACACCACGCGACACCAGAGTGCGGTGCGAGCTCACCTGGAGCAGCAACAGGCAGAGAAACACGGCGACGAAGATGATGCACCAAAGCGTGAAGCTCAGGCTGCCAACGCGAATTTTAATGCGCCGCTGCCGCGTCTTCCCCGGTACGTCAGTTCACAACTGTGTGCAGAGTACGATAAGACTCTGACGGCGCTGCGCGTGACTGCCGGCGCGCGTCCACCGCATTCTCCTCTTGCATCGTCCATCGCTTGCGTTGAAGACAAAAACTTGGAGGCGTCAATGGCGTTGCGCATCTTCGCTGACTCCCTTCCTTCTGCCGTTGTGTGGGGTACGGCAACACACGTGTGGCGCATGGAAGAGCACGCGGATTGTCCGACCCTGCGCCGCCTCGCCGCGGCAGCGCAGCAGCGAGATCCTTTCGGCGTGCAGCAAGACGCTCGCCTTACACGGGAGCTCATGCCAGCTGCCCTCCGCACCGGGGCCTCCGCAGAGCTTGGATTTGTACTAGAGGCCATTCACCGTGCGAAGACGGCAGTGCGTCTAGCGCCCGCGCAGGCACCACGCAAGCGGCCGCGTGCCTCGGACGAGCTTCAATACGAAGAGGATGGTGGCCGTGGTAGCGGCAGAGAGGACCACGCCGTGGCTCCTTCGCGACGTCTCACACAGAGAAAGGAAACGTCTGCGTATGTACCTGCCCCTTCCATTTCCCTCCCTCTTCGCTCCACGTCTGCCCGGGCACAGGCGGCCGCCTCCTCGTCGCGGTCACGCTCTCGCTCACCACCGCCACCACCACAAACGTCGTCCGCGTCTGGGCAGGCTGGATGTGCGTTCTCTACCGATCTGCCTCTCGCAGACGTTGGTAATAGGAAGCCGCACGCAGATCACAATCCAGCAACTTCGTCCTTCGCTTTTGGCGTACGCATCGCGGGGCAGAGCGGCAGCGTTAGGGGCGGTGGCAGCGGCAACCTGGTAAAGGAAGGAGATGCGGATAGCCAGGGCAACCACGACGGGTCTAACGGAGCAACGGGCAGTTCGAACGACCCTCCTAGATTGCAGACTGGTCCTGCGTCCGCCGCATCGCCACTAATGCCTCCTCCCTCGACGCAAGCCCTTCGCCAGACGACCCTTGCCGCGTTCAGCTCAAACAGTGGTGTGGGAGGCAATCACCCATCACCACCACCACCTCCATCGAAAGTTGCACCGTCAGCCGACGCCGCACAGACCTCCAGCCCCACCTCATTGAGGCGGCAGACGTGGTACAGCCCCCCGCCGCTGCCCGGCGCCTCCAAAGCCCCACCCTACCCGTGCCACGTACGTGGCAACGTGAGCGGCAGTGACGGTGTAGATGACGCCTCACTCAATCGCACAGCGCCACCGCCCGCTGCTGGGAACAACGGCGGTTTTGTCACTGCTGGGGAGCAGCTCGTCGCAGATGTGAAGCAGGGTCGTACGATGAACTCGGTGTACCTCAGCAAACGTTCGCCTGCGCTGGGGCTGCGTCGCACGGGCTTTCAGCCTCCCTTCCGCGATCAACCGGCGCCGCCGCCGCAGCAGCAGCAGCAGGGGTGGGGTAATGTGCAGGAAAGCGGACGAGGAGCCGCCGTCCCGCCCTCGTCGAACAGCACCGACGTGGGACGCGTGGGTGGAAGGCCGCCGACACACAACGCCCGCACGCCTGCCACCAACGATGCCCACAACAACAGCGACAACGAAGAGGGGGGCAGCTACCCCGCCTCGCTGCTGCTGCCAGACGGCTCCGTGCCGCCTATTCTCCTCCCCCTCGACCCGAAGCTCGTGACGCAGGTCGCGATGGAGATCTTAGACGGCGGCGCCGGCGCACGGCAGGTGGGCTGGGACGACATCGCCGGTCTGCAGCACGCCAAGGCGAGTGTGGAGGAGGCCATCGTGTGGCCCCTGCGCCGCCCCGATTTGTTTGTCGGCCTGCGCGACCCACCGCGTGGGCTGCTGCTCTTTGGGCCGCCCGGCACCGGGAAGACCATGATCGCCCGCGCCATCGCCAACCGCGCCGGCTGCACCTTCCTGAACATCTCCTCCTCCTCGTTGATGTCGAAGTGGATGGGCGATGGGGAGAAGCTCGTGCGGTGCCTCTTCGCCGTCGCGACGGTTCGGCAGCCGAGCGTCATCTTCATTGATGAAATCGACTCGCTGCTGTCGATGCGCGGGGAAGGGGAGATGGACTCGGTGCGGCGCGTCAAGACAGAGTTCCTCGTGCAGCTCGACGGCGTGGCGACCGACCGCGCGGATCGGGTGTTGTTGATTGGGGCGACGAATCGGCCGGATGAGCTGGACGAGGCTGCCCGGCGCCGCATGGAGAAGCGGCTGTACATCCCGCTACCCGATGAGGCGGCACGGCGGGAGTTAATTCAGCGGCTGCTGCGCTCCCTCGGCCCCGATAGCGGCACCGCAGACGAGGCGGACAAGCACACGAAGGCGGTTGGATCGATGCCGCCGGTGGCCGTGGTCCACACCCTCACCGACGCTGACCTCGACAGCGTTGTCCGCCACACACACGGCTACTCCGGCGCGGATTTGAAGCTGCTGTGCAGGGAGGCGGCGATGGGGCCGCTGCGGGAGATGTCGGTGGGCCAGCTGAGCGAGGTCTCTGTGGCGGATCTGCGGCCGATCCAGCGGCGCGACTTTAAGCAGGCGTTGAAGCGGCTGAAGCCGAGTGTGGGCCCAGCAGAGGTGGAGCGCTATGTGGAATGGAATCAACTGTTCGGCTCCTTCCACGACCAGGACAGCGACAAGGACGAGGAGGACGCCGATTCGAACGGTGGTGCAGACAGCTGAGAGAGAGAGAGAGATAGTGATTTGGTTTGGCTTTTTAATGAAAGAAGAGGCGATTGGCTCTTCCTATGTACGTTAGCTGTTCTTATTATTAGTTATCACAAGCTGCTAAAATGCAATACAAATTACTGTTATTTATGATCTTTACAGAGGAAAAAGGAAAGGAAAAGAAAAATAGGTGAATGAAGGCGAGACTGTGTACGCACAGCAATGCCATGAAAGCGCAATCGGTGTCAGCAGCGGGGATTCGAAACACTATTGTTTTGCTGCTATTGTTGTTGATTTCCTTCTACGTACCCTACTGAGTTTTTGCGGCGTGTAGTGAAGAACGCAGCCATCGACTTCATCTCCGTGAGCCTTTTCCGCTCTGTATGCTCCTTATTTCTAATACCATTACTGCTGTCACCGTCGTGTTAACGAAGAGACTGCTTTGAGTCACCGTCTTCCATCTTTGCTGTCTTCTTCCATTGAAGATCGCCGCGCCTCGGTGCGGAACTCCACGCTCCTCTATCCGCTCCTCGCGATGAGCCTCATGCGCCGTGCCCCTCCTCTTCTCATCACCCTCCTCTGCATCGCTCTCCCCACCAGTGGACTGAATTTTTCCAAGCACATCCAAAACGCTTTTGCCTCCCTCTTCAGCCGTCGTCCAAAGGAAACCATGGCCGATCCTGCGCAGCGACTGAAGGACCTGAAGGCTCCCTACCCGGAGCCGCGGCCGGATCAGCGCCGCTACGTCATTTTCCTCGAGCCCAAAGGCGACCAGGAGGAACTGGACAACTACAAGGTGGAGCTGATGCCCGGTCGCGTGGAGAGCGTCGACGGAGCGAACCATCACCGCGTCGGCGGCAACGTCGAGGAGAAGACGATCGAGGGCTGGGGCTACAACTACTACGAGGTCACGATGTTTGCGACGGCGAGCACGTTGATGATGCCGCTGGGCGCCGCCGCGGAGCTGCAGCCGCGCTTTGTACGCATGTACGTGGACCAGCTCTACCGCTATAACAGCAAGCTACCTATTGTCGTGTATATGCCGAAGAACAGCGAGCTGCGCTACCGCATTTGGACGGCCACCGGCGCCAGCGAGGGCGTCCCTGCACCGGAACTGTAACGTGCGAGTAACACAAAGAGTGGAAAACGGGGTAATGCTTTCGAAAGGATGGCTGAGTTTGTCCACGTACGCAAGCGGTTACTGTATTCCTATTTCTTCCTATTATTATACACTCTATTGATTTGTTTTTCTCTTTTCTATTATGTTGTCCACCGAAGTGCGGGGTGGTGGTGTGTGCGTTTCATCAATGCGCATACGGCTTCTTTGTTCATTTCTTTCACTTGAAGAGAAGGGAGCGCTGAGCACGCGGTTTTGCAGCGCGCAGCGATCGCTGCGGATCCCCGGCAAACGAGAGAGCGCCTTTTACGTCAATTCGAAAGAAGAAAAAAGGAAATTCGCCAAACGGAAGGAGGAGGGAGGGGTAGGGGAAGCTCTTGAAGGGGGGGGGGGTGGAGGGGCGAATGATGGATTCGCGGAGCGCGCACTGTTGATTCCTCCTCCTCAAGTTTGGTTGTTTGTTTGTTTTGAAGATCACTCTTTTCTTCTCTTTTCACCGCGGTCCGCGCCCGGTTTCAGACAAAAGCAAACAACACTAAAAACCCCACAGCGGTGGATTCCAAGAAAAAAAAAAAGAGAGGTCCTCCGAAAGGGGGAGTTTTTTGTCAATGCGAGCAGCAGTAAAAAAGAGAAGAACGGGAGAAGGAAGGACAACACATGTTATGCGTTAAGTGGCGATCTTCTTTGTTTGTTTGTTTTGGTATCCGGCGTATGATGGCTCAGCGTTCATAAAGCGGTCGATTTTTTTGTTGAAGTGGGGTACGTGCTGCGTAAGGCTTGACTCCGCAGTGCGTGTGTGGAGCGGGTTTCGTGCGACGGTGCGTCACACCTCCCCACCGACGAAAGGCGACATCGGCCATGTACCTTTACCGTGTTGCCTGCACGATGTCACTCTCTCTCCCCCTCCCCCCACCCCTCGCCATCTCTTCTGTTCTCCTGCTCGTCTCTTCAAACTTTTCCTCTGCACTGCTTTTCTTCCTTTGTACGTATGCAATTGTCATATATATATATGCATTCAAACAATAATACATGGTACGGCACCGCCTGTTCGTTAACACACGCACACCGATATGATCTACCAGTTTAGCGTGTTCTTCACCGGACACCCTCCGTCTTTCTCCGTTGTTGTTTGTTTCTTTGTTATCATCATTCTGGAGATCATTCCCTTTCTATTATTATTATTTTTTGGTTTTTCTTTCTTATTGTTTTCTGCGTACACCGCGTATCTCCCCCTGCCTTCAGCACTTGTTTTGTTTCCACTAACCCCTCTTCGCCATCATCATCATCATCATCATCATCATCATCTCGTAGAGGCTGATCTATCACTCTTCCTCTTTTCCCCTTGTTTTTACTTGCTTATCTTCTTTATTTTCTTTATCCTCGATGCCTACTCTCTCGGACTTCGGCGCCACGTACCCCGCGGCGGCCCCTGGCCAGGAGCGCAAGGTGATCTACCTCCCCTCGTTCGACCCCCGCGTCGAGGCGGACCACATGCGGGTGCAGCTCATCCCCGGCCGTCACGAGGACTGCGAGGACGGCCGCCTATACAACCTCACCGGCACCATCTCCGAAGGCACCATCGAGGGCTGGGGCTACTCGTATTACGTCGTCACCCTCGGCGACATCTACGCCGCCCACCGCACCCCCGCAGACGCGGAGGGCGCCACCACCTTTGTGGCCATGTACGAGAACCCGATCATCACCTACAACAGCAGGCTGCCCGTTGTCGTGTACATGCCAGAGGGGACGGAGCTGCGCTACCGCATTTGGAGGGATGAGCTCGGTCGGACCGCGGAGGAGACGGCTCCGGCGGCTGCCCCAGCTCCACAGGCCGCTCGCCACCGCTCCAACACCGATGAGCTCGATAATCCACGTCGTCGCAGCGCGCAGGTGAAGGAGTATCCGGAGCCGGCGGCCAGCCGCGATATCCCGCCGATCGCCGGGTACGAACAGGAGGGCGGACGGAAGTCACGCGAGTACGTGGCGGAGGCGCAGGAGGCCCCCGCGCTGCGTGCCGAGGAGGGCGGACGGAAGTCACGCGAGTACGTGGCGGAGGCGCAGGAGGCCCCCGCGCTGCGTGCGTCAGAGAAGGCCGGCGACCACGACAAGGCCTATCGCGAGAAGGTGGCCCAGGAGCGCCAGCAGGAGTTGCGGGCGAAGGAGGCGCAGCCCGACGACCGCCGTGAGCATCGCAAGAGTGACCCCAACTCGGAGCGTCGCCGGCACAGCTCGACGAAACCGCGCAAGCACAGCTCCTCGGAGGTCGGCGAGGCGAGTGCAGAGCGGCAGCGCCGCCTGTCCTCGACGGAGAACTCGCCTTCCGAGGGCTACAAGCGCCTAAGCGTCGATAAGGGTCGCAGCGACTCCGCCGCCTCAGGCCGCCCGTCATCTACGTCGTCGAACGGCAAGGAAGGAGCTTACGAGAAGAAGGCGAAGAACTTCTGGAACCGCGCGCGTGGCAACTCCAAGTCGAAGGATTCCTCGCCCAAGAAGAGCGGCAGCAACGGTGAGAAGTGGTCGGAGATGTAGGAGAATGCCGATGCGTGACCAGGCTTACAGGCACACAAAACACTCCGTTAAGCTTCTGAAACGGTGGTCCGGGAGTTGGCCGAGTGAGAAGACGAAGCGGAGTTGTCAAAGTTACTTTTTCTTGAGGTGTGTGTGTGTGTGTTTGGTTTAATGTACTGCTGCCTCGTTTCTCCACACCTCATGGAAGCTGCTGCCTCGTTTCTCCACACCTCATGGAAGCTGCTGCCTTTGGCGCACGTAACGGTACAAAGGTGTTCGCGCATCTCCGCTGTAGTTGTTGTTGCTGCCGTAGCCTGCGGCTGATGCACCGCTCCCCCCCCCTTCTTTTTCCTTTCCTTGCTGTTCCGCTGTCCCTATCTGTTTCGCACGCTCCCCGGACGTATGAGGGCGACGAAGGAAGAGAGAATGGATGAGCAGCTGGAAAAGGGAAAAACGAAAAGCCGTGCTGTTGTAGAAGTGACGGGGGAGTGTTTGCACGGGGAGAGCAGCGATTTGCAGCGGAGATCTTCTTCCTTTTCTTTTTTCCTCTCTCTCTCATTGCGGGGTTTAAAGAGGTATTTTTGTTTTGTTTTCCGCTACTGCAACAGCCACTGTCCTCTTCAGTTTGTCACAGACGCGTCCGTTCACAGCATGCATTATCGTCTTGAGATTCTTCTTTTCTTCCGTGTGCTGCTATAAGTTTTGGCCGTCTTCCTCTACGTATATATATATACGTACACATATATACCGTGTACTTTCCTGGGTAGTCAACGGACCAGCGTGTGGCTTCTCCTCTCTGGGCCGTTGCATTAGATCGCCTTTCTTCTATTTTTTTTCTTCTCCCCTTTCTCGTTTCTTACTCTTCTGCCTGGTTGGTAAGGGGAATTTGTTGGACGGAGGAACGCACGACCGTGGGTGGGGGGAGGAGGAGGATCCGCTCCCCTTCTTGTGAAAACAAGTAAGAGGAGAAACGTGCGCAGAAAAAAGGGGGGAAAAAGCTGCTCTGCGTTGCACCAAGACGCATGCCGTCTCCGGCACCGCCTTTTCAGTTTTCTTTTTACGTGTTCTCTCTCTCTCTTTCTGTTTTCCAGCCTGCGCACAAGCAGGCGGTAACTCCGCCGTGTTGTGGTTCGCTGCCGCTTCGCTCCCCAGTTTTCTTTCTCCACCGCCTTCGATGCATATATGTATGTACGCATGAACTGTTTTCATCATTGTAGCCGCTTGCTTTCCTTTTCGTTACTTCTCTCTCTGTCTCGCTGCCTCTCTGCCTCTCTTATTCATCTGTATTTAGTTATACAATGCAACAGCCCACTTTTGTCTTTGCGCGTGTGTGGGGCTTCTCCGATGGTTTCTCCTCTTCTTTTATTTAATTATTATCCTGCAGCCGTAGAAATATATATATATATAGGAAAGAAAGAAGAACTTGCTTTAACTTGTCTGGGTGCGCATCGATGCGTGTCTCACCGCCACTTCTTTCTCTTCTCGTAATGTGTGTGTTTGTGTTGTTTGTCTTTCCGTATCTCGTGTTTGATTTTCCTCTTCTCCATCGGTGCGGGCGATTACTGCGTGTTTGACGGAGCAGCTGAAGCACCTCGATGGCGTTGACTCGTTGTGTGGACGCAGAAGGCGAGGATTTGGCAAGAGGGTGAAAGAGAGCTATATAATGACGACGCTACGCATATGAAAAGGAGGCAGCTGCAGGTGCATTTTTCCCTCTCTTTTCTCCTTTCTCAAGATTAGACATGCGCGTCGGCCGTGACGAAATAATAAAGTTCTCTACGTATGTGTGTTTTCCTGTAGATGCGGATCTGGGATGGATCAGGCAGTCGGTCCGCACGCGTTGCAACCGGCACCCTCCGCCGTTCGCCATTGCCGCGCGAACTATCCGTATCAACGTCAAATGTGTTTTTTGTAAAAAGAAAAATCTTTTGCTGTTTTATCGTGTTGATATTTTTAAGAAGTCAAATATGCTGTGAATGCGTCTAAAGCGAAAGGGACCTCCTCCTCCCCCTCCCCCTCCCTGTCTCACTCAGCCACCTTTGTCTTTCCTGACACATGTTGGCGGGTGGAGTACACATTTAAAGCCGTGACTGGAATGCAAAGCAGTATCCCAGATGTACCGGCTCTTTTTTCAACCCTTGTTTTGAGGCGGAGGGACTCCAATGTGTTTTCCTCACTACGTTGCTGAACTGCATTTTTTTTTGGGAGGGAGGCCCCGTCACTAGCCACTGCTCGCCGTTGGAACTTGGCTCCCCCGCAGGTGTTGTCCCGGTAGAGGTGGCACTCTCGAAATGAAGAAAGCGGCAAGCACAGCGTCGTGTTGTCTCGGTTCCTGTCCCTCTTTGTGTATGCGTTACCATCGGTGTCATCACCCGCTACCTCGACGCGTCCTCATCCTCCTCCTCTCTCGTACTTTATATATATATATATCCTTGTCGTAGCAGTCGTTCTTTCCCACGCCGTACCTCCATCGACGCAAGAGGCGAAAGACGAAGAAGCGCTGCATTGCACTCGCAAGCCTTGCTATACTCCTATACACATTCCGCCCGTCTACGTATGGTTTTGTTGTTGTTGTTGTTGCTTCTGCGCAATCAAGAACTCCTCTTTTGTTTTTAAATCTATCACACTCCTGCGTCAAAACACATGCCGCTAAACTGTGACGATGCTCTCTGAAGAAACACATCGAGAGATAGAGAGTCACTTAGACACACATACCCACACAGCACTGTGTACTTGAGCTTGATCTTTGCTCCTTATTTATTTCAGCTGGGCTACTTCCTTCCCCACTCTTTTTCCCTCTTGCCATCAACCGCACGCCGCTATTTTATTATTCTAGTTTTTTGCTGCCACCGGTAGTCATCGCCGAAGTTCATTGCATTGTTTCCTCTTCCCTTCCTTTTTCTTCCTGATATTCCGGATCCCCCGCCTTCCGGCTTTACCGAGAGGGTTTTTCCTTCTACGTTTCTCCGTCTCTCCCGCTGCGTGGGTCGCTGTTTGCGTGGACCACGCCAGGCTTTTTCTCACCGGCGTCGCAGCAGGTTCTGACGTTCCTTTTCGCCGCAGCGCCCCCGGCAAACAACTATATTAAAAGCAGTCGGAAAGAGGGAGGGGGAGGGAGTACCTATATCTACACAATCTTCCACATGGACCACTCGGCTGCGCAGTCGACGCCGCTCGCGTCTTCCTCGTCGTCCTCCGTCTGTCTCGGCGGCAGCAACGGCGACGGCGACGGCGTCAGCGATGAAGATGGACGACACGATCAGCAGCGTCAAAAACACGACGTCGGGAGCGGTCAGAGCGGAGTTCTGTCGCGGCTGCAAGATGGTATTACGCCCCCGCGTATTGATCCACAGCAGGACGATCGTAGAAGAAGTACCGACAGTCGACATTCGATTCCTCCTGCAGGCTCTCACCATCGTGCGAGGTGTTCTTCGTGGTATTCGGCGGCAGATACCAGTTGTGGAAGCGACACTCACGGCGGTGCCCCTCCGAGAGGGCCGTCCTCGCCGACCCAACAGGGCAGACCAACCGCCATTCCACCCAACACACGACGAGCCTCAGATGTCATCTCCACCCTCCGCTCACGTACGGAGGGAGATGTAGCGCATGACTTCGGCTCGGCAGTCCTGCCTCTCACAAGAGTGCAGCCGTCTACGTTGACAGTGGGAAAGTCAGAGGTGGCGACGGATCCCGCGCACGTTGTCGCCGTCGACGATGACACGACACGTGCCTTTTTGGTGGCAGCCGTTTCAGGCGGGCACGCAACTTCCTCTTCGCAGTCGCCATCGCCGTCGGTCGCGTTGCAAACACCGTCGTCGACCTCGCTGCGAAGTCCGACTCCCCTCGATCTGACCGCGCCGCCGAAGCGGTGGTTTCCGCATCGTCGGAGCTATCCGGCAGACCGGCGTAGTGAGGATCTACCTTCTGCTGCTACAACGACGACGACGACGAGTTGTGGCGGTGTGGGCGATGACGGTGGTGGTGCGGGCCGCAGTAGAGAGCCAAATAGTTTTCCCTCAGCCGTGTGCAACGACGCACGGCATCCGCGGCAATATGGACGAGCGGCTTCGTCAGTGCCATCGTGTGGGCCGCTACACACAGCAGAGGGCAGCGTTCACAACAGCGACCTTCACCGAGACGGCAGCGCAGAGGACGGGCTGCCAAATACGCGTCGATTGAGCTTCAACAACAGCAGCAGCGGGACCGCGGCAGCCGCAGCAGCAGTGGGGGAGGAACGCTGTCGCAGCAACACTGATAAAGACCCCGAACAGGGGGAGAGAAAGTTTGATGCGGAGGCAGACAGTGCGAAGGAGTCCGCGGTGACGTCTGTCGCTGCTGATGATGTTGTGGAGTTAACGAACACGCCTCCTTTTCCACCAGCGGCTACTTTGCCTGCGCCGAATCGGAGTCATGGCGCGTCACTTCAACCTCCCTCTCCTTCATCTCCTCTCTCCGCCCCCTCGCAAGTAAACGAAAGGGCTGAGCAGCGTCCTGCATCGCCCGTCGTGGGCGCTGCCGCAAGTACCAGGACTGCCACGCCGTGTTCGTCGTCGAGCCCTACACCGGAGCACACACCTGGGAGGGCGTTGTGGCTCGCCCGCCACGACGGAGACGACGCCTGCCGCTCCCCCTCCCCGCGCGTGGAGGCTGCGGGTAAGAGTTTCATGACGCAGGACGAGTACAGAGTGCCCGTCACACCCAGACAATCCAATGTGATTGCAAGTGCAAGGAAGAAGATGGAACAGGGGAACATCTCTCCTGGACAATCACAACAGCAGCTGCAGCAATACGCTCCGCAACCGACGACCCCGTCGCTTTCGCATGATCCGCTGGGTTCTTTCAACTCCTCCTTCGAAGGTGATGTGCCGGAAGAGGACTCAGGGGGCGGCGCCGCCAGCGCGGTTCCACGATTCCTCGCTCCCCTCTGCAGCGCCGAGCACAACAGGACGCGCCCGTCACCGCCGCCGCTCGCCTTCACGCCGGTGGCGACGCCCGCGATGGAGGGCGTCTGCGTGCCACAGGTTGTACCCACGCACGAGAGCGTCTTCTTCCCGCTGGGCACGGAGGTGATCGCGCCGGTGATGCTGCACTACGTCACCGTGGGGGGCTGGAGCAGCCGTGCCGGCGGGCGTGACTACTTCAACCACCGCCGACTGCGGGGCGGCGAGGTGGCGGGACACACCGTGCGTTGGTTGCACACCGCCCAGCCGCGCGATCGATTTGTGTTCCTCGTCACGCCGGTCGTGGCGCGGACGGCGGAAGAGGAAGACGAGGAGAAGGAAGAGGCGCGACGCACGTGGGCGCTGCCGCGAGGAGCGTGGAAGAGTCTGCGTCGGATGCTCTTTGGTGAGGCACCGTGGTTTACGGCGGACAAGACGGCGTGCGGCGCGCGCAGCCGCATCGCCTACGATGACGCACCCCACTCCCCCTCCTCCCCCGACAAGGACATCGCAATAGACGAAGCGGTGAGTACTCCGAGTGGCGTGTATGCGTCGACGCCCCATTCGTTTCTGATGGCGAGCTCAGTGGGTGGGGCACACTACCACGATCGCTTCTACACGAACGACGGAGGGGATGGCGCCTCCCCACCCCCGCTGCACTACCGTACATCGCACAGCGTTGACGCCGCGTATGGGGACAGCAACAGCAGCAGCAGCAATTACATCCGCGAGGGCGAAGCGCAGTGCAACCGCACAGTGCTTCCATCTGGCAGCATGTCACCGATGCTCGTCACGCGTCAGTCTTCGCAGGGAGGCGTCTCCGCCCACGCCACCCCAGCTAGAGACCCAGCGCAGGCCGACGGGGCCACGCTGCGTCCGTCGCCGCTGTCGCTCGGCCACACCTTTCCCCCTAGCGCTGCTGTGGCCTCAACTACCGCACCGCAGGGACCGCACCTGCGACCCACCGGCACCAGTTCCCAGAAAGCCCATCCACACGGCCACGCCCCACCGTCGCCCGTCAACGGCCCTCTCTTCCCCCTCTACGCGTCGGCATCCTACAGTGGTGGAAGAGGAAGGGGGGGTGCAGAGACGAACAGCTACACCGATGGCAGCCGTCACGGTCAGCTGCGACACAGTGCCACGACGAGCGACTTCCACCGCGGTGCCAGCGGTAGCACCAGCAGCGGCCGTCGCTTCATCTTCTCACCTTTAACGGGCACGGCGGTGTCGACCAGTGGCGTCTCGCCCGTTACCCCGCAAAACTCAAAATACCGCACTTTACTACAGCAGCAGCAGCAGCAGCAGCAGGAGCGGGCAAGAACCCCGCTCAACAGATCACCTTCCGAGTCTACTCTTCCAGATAAGGCCGCCCCTGCGGCGACGGTGGGTGTCGAGGTCATTGAGATCGTCCACACGGACATAACAGCAATGGACTACGCCCCCCGCCTCGCCTCCCATCGTCTGTCGATGGAGGCAAGAGAGATCTACACCTACTTCTTTCCGACTCTCGTGGAGGCGCTGGCGCACTACCAGTGCCCCGAGGCGATGACGCTGATGGAGGAGCAGTGGGCTGCCGGCATGACGAGTCAAATCCCCCGGCCACAAGACGACGCTGTTCTTGCGCGGCAGCGGCACCGACAGCTGCAGCAGCGGCGGCTGCAGCAGCAGCAGGCGTCGCAAGAGCACCGCAACAGCAGCAGCAGCATCGTGCCCACGCCATCCCTCACCAGGCACCCTTCCCTGGCTGCGGCGCACGGTGACGGCGATGTCGTGCTCCCTCTTGTGTCGTCGTCGGGCAATGTGTCATCAGCCGCCCGGTCCTACGAGTGGGCATCACCACCGCAGCACGCGTCGCAGCGGTGTGCGCCGCTACGAAGGACGCCCCTCTCTTCCCCACCGCAGACTCTCGCGAGTGCATTGCGCAATGCGGGTCGAAGCGACGGCGGTGGAGGTGGTGGTGGAGAGCGGCCAGCCACAGCGCCGATGCAACTATTCCAACCGGACTCGCTTCCTTCGTTCGACGTAGAAACAGAGGAGGTCCGTGGTGCCGGTGATGGGGGTGGAGGCAGTCGTCGTTGCCATCGTCCTCGTGACAGCGATGCGGTTAGGCCCTCCAGTTTGCCTGCTTGTGCAACGCTAACCTCAACCGCAGCGGGCACACGCCCAGGATCCTGCTCCCCTCCCCCTCGCAGTCGTGGTGCACCGGCGCTGTCGAACTGTGTTGCCACTGAGGCTCCCATGAGCACCTCCGCGACGACGCTGCCGCCCACCCCACTCTCTGGCGCCACCCACGCCTTACACGATGCCTGCTCCTCCGTGACGCCGAAGCTGACCTCCACCCACCGCGAAATCGTCGTTAGCATCTACACCACCGACCCCGTCTTTAACAGCGTCCTGCGCGAGGTGCTGATGCCGGAGCCCGGCACGCACCCCTACACCACAACCGTGGCGGAGCAAAAACGGCTGCTGAGCATGGTCGAGGTCGGCATGCCAGCCTGGGCCATCTTCTACAGCTCCACCGGCCTTCCCTACCGTCGGCTCTTTCGCCTGCTCTACTCGGGCCTGACCAACCTGTGGCCACTGCTGTCGCTGGCGGTGGGCGTGTACGACCTGTACAAGCACCTCCCCCAGCTGAAGCGGTTTATGGCGCGGACCTTGGACCCTCTCACCCGGTGGCTAGAGCGCCGCTTCACCCTTCGCCTCTCCGTCCTGGTCACCTACCTCTTCTCTGTCGTGGTGACCATCTTTAGCAGCCTGAGCGCCTTTGTGTCGCAGTTCTACGTTGTGCAGCTCCTCTCCTTGCCCATCGTGCAGCTGGTCTTCGCCCTCATCAAGTTGCCCTTTGTGCTGGCCTTTGACACCCTCTGGCTCTTCACCAGCACGGCGTTTGGCACCATCAGTCTTGTGCTGCAATTGATACGCGTCGTTGTCATGGCGCCGCTTGTGTTCGTGACGAACCTCGCCTCTCTGCGGGAGACGGTGGGCGTGGTGGCGCCGGTGGCCGTGCAGGGGACGTCGCTTTCGGTGAGGTGGTGGAAGGCATGGTCGGAGTTTTGGGAGACGGTCGCGTCGCCCATGAAGAACGCGGTGCAGGCGTGGTGGGACTCGATGATCCACGTCAGCACCTCCGCCGCGCGGCGCGAGACGTCGATACGGCGGTGGTACACCCCGAAGTTGGAGCAGTGCTCGGCCGTGCTGGGTGAGGTGCAGGACACCGTGGCCATCAACACCCAGCTGTGGTGGACTGACATGGTCCTCCCTGGACTACGCCGCCTTGTTGTGCTGGGGGTAGCCCTTGTCTACCTGTACTGGCTGTTCCTTGGCATTTCGGATAAGGTGTGGGATGACTTTATTTATGCCTCGGGTGTTCGCCACCCGTCGCGCGGCGGCGGCTCCTCCGTCGAAGTTGGACATCAACCGCCCGTGACGACGCAGCAGCGGGGCGGTGCGGGCAGCGGCGCGGCAACGGACGATGAAGTCACGCCCTCTGCGGTGTCGATGTACGTACTCTTTCAGAGCCCCTTTGACCTCCTCTGTGCTGCGAGAACGCGCATTATCACGTCCATCACCTCCGCCACCATCACCGCTTCGTCCATCGGCGACGGCGACTGCGCAACGGCGGCCACGCACGCGGTGTTCTACACGCCAACGTCTGTGATTCACATGTGCGATAGCACCGGCACCTCGACCATCACCACGACCACCGCTCGGACCGCCGCTGCCGTGCCCGGGGCATCGCCCTCGACGACCCTGACCACCACCACCACCACCGTCATCACCACCGTCGTCCCACTGCCGCAGGCGTCGCTGACGTCTCTCGCGGCGGAGCTGCTGCTGCCGAACGTGGTGTTGGAGCTGCTGCACCGCCTGAGTCACTTTGCATACAATGGGTGGGGTGCGGCGGCGGACTTGGCGGGGGCACGACGAGGTCATCTGTTCAGCGCACAGCACCACCCCCGCGTGAATAGCTCCGCCTTCGACAACCACGGCGACTTGCCGGACTGGGCGTGCACGGACCAGGAGGGCGGCTGTCAGGGGGGCGGTGGGACACACGTTTCTTGTTCTCACAGTTTAGGTGAAGCGGTGGACTCAGCCTCGGTGCTGTCTGCCGCCGAGGCCGGACGGAGGCAGTACAGGATGCGGAGGTACGCGGAGGAACATCTGGCGCTTGTCACGGTGGATGTGCGGAAGTTGGGCGGCTTCCCAGTGATGCAGCCGACGTGGGCGGAGGTTACCTACCTGCGGCGCGGAGACACGAGAGGGCAGGAAACACCACGTGAGCTGTCCGTGGTGCACCAAGACGACCGTGTGTGAAGTCCGGTGTTCGAGCTTCTTTTTCTTTTCCGGTTCCAGCAACTCGGCGGTTTTGTATAGGGAGAGAGAGAGGGAGGGTGAGAGAGCCACAGGCGGCCCGTCTCCACTGTCTTTCATCGCCGCCGCTACCCCCGTCATTTTTTTCTGCTTTCTCTTCCTCCATTTCTTTGTTGTTTTTGTCGTCGCCGTCGTGCGTGAAACGGCGCCCTCCAGCAACTTCCCCTGTAACGAGTCTTTGCCATCCGACGGAGCCGCAGAGCTGCGGTAGGACCTATTGGAAGAAAGGAAAGAAACCGAGCTGTGCGCTGGCGCGAACGGGCGATGAACACCGTCCACTTATCCTTTGTTGTTGTTATTTCTGTTGCTCTTGCGTGCTCCTGTGCTCCGGCATTCCGCCGTTCAGAGTCACTCAGAGGAGCAGACTCAGCTTTCTGAACACAACAGCATGAGTTGATCTCACACTGCTTCGTTAACTCCACTTCCTGTCCTCTTTCTCTCTTTCTCTCTTCCTTGGGTGATCAACGCAATTTGATCACGTCGCACGTGCCTTGGTCACCTGCGCGCTGCCCGCATTACCGTACGCACACTTGCACGGTCCTCTTTGCGGTCTTTCCTCTTTTTCTTGACAGTAAATCATCACCCACCGCTATCTGCTTCGTGTTTCTTGAGAGGGTATTCATTTCGCACGCGCTCTCTCGCCTCTCCCCCCCCCCCTCCTTCCCCTACCTCCCTTGAGCTCTTCCGTGCGCACCTGCGTGGTAGATTCAGTAGCAAAGGAAGAAGAAGAGCAAGAGAACACATCGAGCAGGTCAGCTGAACACCACCTCAACACTGGCAGCCTCGTCCAGCTTTTCAGCTAACGATTTGCGGCTGACTTCTTTGTTCCTCACCTTCTCTTCGTCCGTCATCACCGTCATCCTCATTTCCATCAGCGCTGATGTCACGACCCGTAAGCGTCTCCGAGGACGCGATGAAGTCTCGGCAGTCTGTCCTGGACGTTGGCCAGCGCAACCAGCTGGAGGCCATGCAAGCCGAAGTGCGCCGCAACAACGAACAGCTCACCACCCTGCGCCGCGAGAACAAGGAACTCCGCTCCGTCCTCCAGCAGACCCTGCGTGGCCAACGCAACATCAGCGTCGAGGACCACTACGCGAAGGAGGAGGAGCTGCTGCATAACAAGAACTGTGTGCTGAAGCGCAGTCTGAACGCGGTGAAGGCGAAAAACTCGGAGCTGATGAAGGAGATCGAGAAGGCCGTGGAGGAGAACACCTTTCTGCTCCAGGAGGGCCACGGCGCCATGGAGGAGGACTCCTCCGTTGCCCACAAAATCCGCGCCCTCGAAAACCGCCTGGACAAGTGCCTCGTCAAGCACAACGAGGTGAACACGATCCGGCGCACCTACGAGACGCTGCTGGAGCGGCTGCAGCTGGAGCAGGCGGGCTTCAACACGCAGGTCTCGTCGACGGAGCAGGCTTTGCAGTGCGCGGACAAGGAACTGGCGGAGTTGGTGGCGGTGTGGAAGAGCGCCGCGAAGGCGCGGGACGCTGCGAAGGCCGAAGTTGCCGATCTCAAGAGCCAAATCGCGGCTGAGCGGCAGAAGCAGCGGAAGGACCTGGACGAGCGGCGCGCCTTCATCGAGGCAAAGCGCCAGCAACTCGAGACGAAGCACGAGACGCTGATCCAGAAGCTGCAGCAGCAGGAGGAGCGCCACGCGCGAGCAGTGCAGAACGCCTCCAGCAACAGCGCGAGCCGCCGCCGAGGCGGACACCGCAGCGGTGCCTCCTCTGCCTCCTCCCTCCGCCCCGAAGAGGTGGAGGAGCTGCAGAAGCAGAAGGTAGCGTACCTCCGACTGCGGGACATGACGATGGGCGTCAACGTGGCCGACGTCATCAGCAAGCTGTGCGAGCGCACCACCCAGAACGAGCAGCTGCAAACCACCTCGCACACGCTGGAGGCGGACGTACAGGGTTTGGAGGAGCGCAAGGTGCAGCTGCAGACGGAGTGGGAGTCCGTCAACCACCGCGCAGGCCACGCACTCGTCTCGGCCCGCGTGATGCGTGCCGCACGCGATGCCCACGCCCGCGCAAACGGGACGGCGGACGCCGCCGCGAAGGGGGAGGTCACCGCCGGGGCTGGGGAGGACGACGACGGCGCGGATGGCTTCGCCGGCCCTGGTGGCGCGGGCGACAGCACCGACTTCGGCTTCCGCGCAGACCGCCGCCACGACCGCCGCCTCATCCTTGACGAATTTCGCCAGCACCTCGCGCAGCGCCAAGATGAATTGGAGGAGGCGCAGGAGACGCACGACAGCCTGGTGCAGCTGCTGCGGGAGGTGGACATGGGTGTGAAGTACCTCGCGGAGAAGCTGTCCATCACGAACGCCGCCGCTATCACCTCCAGCTCCACCGGGGCGTCGAAGCAGGAGAAGTCGGCCACCAAGACCAGCCTCACCATCGACCTGCTGCGCAGCTGTGGGGCGAAGCTGCAGCTGATGCTGGAGGAGCTCTCGCAGGAGGAGCTCGACGCCATCGTGCGGTCCATGAGCGGGGCGAAGTTCACCATCCCGGAGACGAACCTGCGAGTGGAGGAGGTGTTGGAGGCGAAGCAGCAGCAGCAACTCCTGCGGCAGATGCAGAACGCCTCCGCCTCGCGCGGGCGGGGCTCGATGAGCCACTTAGGCGGTGCCGGCGGGGCAGCAGCAGCGGCAGCTGGTGGCGGCTCCACTTCGCCGTCGGCCACAGCAGCAGCAGCGGGGGCGGCAGCGGGCGGCGGGCGTAGCGGCTCCGGCACGGCCGCAGGCGTCAACGGCGCCGGCACGGGTGGCGACGACTACCCCGAGAACGAGATCCACGACCGCCAGGAGCTGAAGATGATGTCGATTGCGACGGTGGAGCGGGAGCAGCAGAAGGCGCGCAAGCGACAAATGCAGCAGCGGCGCAACAAGGAGGAGATGGTGTAGGAGAAGGAGGGCGGAGGAAGGAGCGAAGACGAAAGGTGCGGAGGTCAGTGAAAAGCGGAGAAGTCACTGTAATGAGGGGGGGAGAGAGAGAGATGCCCTTTTGTTGTTGTTATGGTGGTGGTGATACCTCAAAGGAGAAAACACCGTGTCTCTGTGCCGGTGGCCGGGACACTCTGCCCTCGCGTGACGCTTTCCATCGTGGTGGGATGTCACCTGCAAGGCCTCTCTTCTCTCCTCGTGCACGGCACACTCACACCGTTGTAACATCATATTCTTTTTTCTCTTCTTCTCGTTTTGTTTTTTTCTTTGGAGGAGACGTTTTCTTCTCCTCACATCACCGTTTCTCTTCGCCAGCCTGCCGTTGCCAATTTACGTGTGTGTGAGTGTTTCTCCTCTTTCCTTGATGTACAGTGACACAGAGTTCTGATGTTTACGATGTTTTGTGTAGCTTTATAATAACTATTGTTTTTTACTATTATTATAGATAGGTATATATATATACCTATTTGTATATCTTGGTCGCTTTTTGATGATGATGATGATTTGCTCGCTTTCCGTGGAAGGGGGTTGTCGGCGCGCTGTGTCCGGTCTTTTCCATCCACTGCCGTCACCGCCTTCATGGGAGAATTTTCGATTTTGCTGTCGTCGGCGTTGTAGTCGCTACGGCCTCTTGTTGCTGTTGTTGTTCTTGTTGCTCTCAAAGACAGGCATTAAACGGCGGTGGACTACACGCCCTTTTTTTGTTCTCAGCGTGTCTTTCTTCGTTCTCTCTTTCTCTTGGGTTTTTTCTTTCTTTCTTTTCCCCCTGATGTTAGATAGCACGAGGCTCTTATACGTAATATATAGATGTGATATATATGTTTATATATCATACATAGAGCGTTCTTTTTTGACCGCTACATGCATCCACCGCAGTCGTTACAAGTTTCGTCTCCTCTTCCTCTTACATGTACAGCATCATTGTATTATTGAAACTCTCAAATCAACATGACAACGAAACCCCTTCGTGTGTGTGTGTGTTGTGTCTGGATTTCCCACGTAAAATCCTGCGCCATCGCCGATGCGCGGGTGCAACGCCCGTCCCTGCTAAAAGTATGGCGGCTGCGGTCGAGTGAGAAAGGAAAGGAAGATGCTTCGGCGTAAGCACCACCACCACGACTCCGGTGGGGAGTGGTGGCGAGCGTGTTGAGCGTCGCAACCATGCGGACGTATTCAAAAACTTCTTCGAAAACGAAAGAAAGCCGCTTGCGCTGTTTCTCCACAGCTTGCGCTTTCCCTTTCTTTTTCATTTTCCTGTTACGTCACGTGAACAACGCTGCCTTTTGTTGTGCCGTTCTTCGTGCCTCCCAAAGGTCATGCGTTGATGACACCTCCACCTCCTCTACCTCTTCTTCTTTTGATTTCGACTGCTTATGCGGCTGGCTTCTCCTCCTCTACCGCTCTTCTGTCCACGTACACGCACGTAACGGAGCTGTACTCCATGTACTCCCGCTAAATACATGTAGATATATATACAGATAAAGATATTCTGCTTTGGTACCGCACCTGCGACGACAAAGTCGCGTATTTCGCTGCCCTCCCCTCCTCCTCTTTATTATTATTATTATTATTATTGTTTCTCCCGTAGCTACACACCACAGCTCCGCCGCCCTCGCAACTCATACCGGACCTGTTGGTTTGTTTTTTTCTCTCATCATCGAATAAATGGAAGAAACGAGAAGAGGAACGAATGCGACGGAATGTGTGGCATCGTCGCCGCCGGCATTGAAGAAAGCTGATCGTCAGCAGCAGCAGCGTTGTCTTCTGCGCTCCTTTGCCCTCGCCGACCTGCTAGGCCTCTCCCCCATCGCACGCCAGCAGATGGCTGTGGCGGCTGCAACGGAAGCCGCCAACACACACGGCTGTACCTCTGCAACGTCCGCCATCCTTGCTCACGCCGAAGCGGCGCCTGCACGAAGCGCTGTAGAAACGGTGATAGTGCATGCCGTCCTTCACCAGATGAGCGCAACGGCGAGTTTATCGAACACCTCTGCACACGTCAGCCGCGGCAGTGCCTCAGGGCCTTCCAGCGGGCTCACTCCGTCATCCCTGGAGGCCCCCCCTTGGGATCTTCCAGCGACGACGATCAACACCATCACTATCGCGCCTTCATCTTCTGCCGTAGCAGCAACCACTACATCGTTTGCTGGACAACGACCAGGCCCTGCGCTTTATCCGCAGCCGTTGCCGGGGTGTACGTCGTCATCCTTGCTGCTCCTCCTCCCCGCCGTGCTTTCTACGCAGCGCGGCATCGCACGCGTGGATGCCCTGCACCCCACCTTTGTTCTGCATCTGCTGACGGCGCTGCTCCAAGCCGGTTGTGGATGCGCGGGAGGTGAGGGGGCTCTGTTGTTGACGCAGAGTCCTACTCGTTTGTCAAATGGGCAGCCAGCAACAACAGCGGGAGGCGATGAGGAGGAGGATCTACGACGGGCGGGCTATCGAGACACATTTCTGCAGCTCCTGAACCTATACGCACCTCTCCTGTTGTCCCGCCTACAAGGCGCAGGGGCCGCGGTGGAGGAGCTGGTGACACTGATATCTCAAGAAGCCACCCCCACCGCTTCTGCTGATGGTGCGAAGGCAGAAGGACGCCGCACGAAGTTCGCGGAGTGTGTAAGACGGCACTTCGCTCCAAGTCCCACGCAGCCGTGGGTGGAGGCGTTGGGTGCGTTTGTCGCGAGCACCATCGAGGTTCTCTCCACACGCAGCCGCAACGTCGCTCGCACAGCCTCGCTCCATGCGGACACGGGAACCGCAGCGGCAGCTATAACAACAGCATGTCATGCAACGCCCAACAAAGCATCGAATGGAAGCACACCGCTGGGTAAAGCAGAGGTTCGTCAGGGAAGTCTGCCGTCCGCCGCACCGCCCACAGCAACGGAGACGGAAGAGGCGGTGTGGATACTGAAGACGCTCGGTACGGTGTTGTTGCTTCTCGACCCATCCAGCCCCGACCGGGTGGTGGCAGCCAACGGTGGTCGTGGTGGCGGTGGTGACCGCAGGGATGCGGAGCTGGCACCGGGTGAGGGAATAGCTTCCTTTGCGTCTGAAGACGCCGGAGTGGCAAACCGCGCCGAACTGGAAGCGTCGCCCGCGGATGTAAGCGAGCACAAGCTGTCGGAGTGGTGCCCGCTGAAGCCCCATCACCGTCACAACAGCAGCAGGGCAGAAGGTGTTGTGTTGGCCACCGTGCTTTCACGCATGTGTCAGCGACAACTGCTGTTAATAGGAGCGTCTAATGACGATGATGATGTTGATGTGTTGATGTCGCAGGTTACAGCCGTAGCGAGTCTTATTCAGCGGCTGCTCATGCGCAATGGAGAGTGGCACGGCGATGCCATCATCGAAGGGACTTGTTCTGCAGACACATTAGTCGACCACTACGCAGCTCTCTACACGTCGCAGCTGGCGGAACAGCAGAAGCAGCAACATCGACTGTTGGCTGCCGCGGAACGCGCAGTGCAGCACGTCCTGCGGCTGTCCACGACGCCCTGGCGCTCCTCCCCCGCGATGCTCGTGGCGATGTGTGGAATTACATCTTACCAGCTGCGCACCCAGCTTCGACAGCGCCAGCAACGCCTGCTAGTACTCGAGTCAGAGCGAGACGGCAACGCACGTGCGCATGATGCGCCAGACACGTGCTATGAAGCTGAAGCGGCATCTTCGTCGTCGCTGGTGTTGCCTAACACCGCAGCTCCGACCTCCGCGGCACAGCCTATTTTCTTCGGCGAAGCAGTGTGGTCCGATGACGAAGCAGCGGAGGGAAAAAAACCTGCTGAGGGTCCAATACACACGTTTGGCGAAACAGCTACAACGAAGACTTCGGTTTCATACAACGCCACGATTGCGGCAGCACCCTTTCCATCCCCGTCAGCGTCGTCATCGGCGAGGCGCTGTCCTACAAGTGTGCCGCCTGTGTCTCCGGTGCGACAGCCAACGCAGCGGTGTCTCTACACCCCACGGACGAGTCTGCTCGGTTGTTCCGCTCCGACGAGAGAAACCGCCGACACCGCTGAAGATTATGACGCCTCTCTCAGCGATCCGGTGCGATACTTCTCCGCCACCCGGTCGATGGAGCATCTGTGGGAGCTGCCGCCGCGGGTGCCGCAGGAGTGGACGCCGGCGCTTGCCACGCTGATGACCTGCTGTGCCCTGTGCATCACCCCCACCTCGACCGTCGCCTCGCGCCTCTGCGTGTTAGCGGGGGATCCGTTCCCCGAAGAAGGAGGAGCGGAAGAGGACGAAGCAGCTGGCGGAGGTGCCGGTCCGGCGAGCTTCGCCGTCGCTTCGTTGCCCTCTGCGCCGTCCAGCACTCGCGCCAGCCCGCGGCCGAGTTTGCTGGACTTCGGCTTTGGACGTCGACGTGCCGCGCCCGCGACACCACAAAACACCCACACGGCCGGCAGCAACAGCGGCAACGATTGTACCAGCGCGGGTGGTGAGAGGGAGCGAAGCGGCACGACGCAGGCGCCGCCCACGGGGAGTCGGTCGAGTGACGCAGTGGTGGTGGTTGGGGCGCTCGCCCAGTGGCACCTGCGGGGCCTCATTCAGCAGCTGCGCATTCCAGCACGGGGAGTGGAGCCGCGACTACGCGGGTGTACGGGGGAGATGCGCGCCGTCGGCGGGAGGACAACAACGGTGACGAACGGTGTCTTTCCCTCAGGGCTGTCCGCCACGGCGGTGGCCGTGCCGAGCTCCGCCGGTGCGACCGGTGGCGCCTCGTGGTTCACGGCGTACCATCACGCAAACAAATCCGCACGTCCTCGCCCCCAACCCCAACACCGCCGAGACGCCGCATCTTCTACTGGCGCCGCTTCTGCGCCGAAAGGCCTCGATCACGATGCCAGCGTTGTGGTGCTGCGTGCGCTGAACCCCACGCTTCTCCTCGCCAGCTGCTTTGCCCTGCAGCACCTCCTGCGGACTCAGCATCATTTCTTCGCGCATGCGCAGCTGGGTGGGTCGGCGATGCGGGAGCTGCGGCGGGGGGTGGTCGCCTCCCGCCGCGTCGCCGGCGGTACCGCGGGCTGGACGGCGGGGATGCTGCAGTGCGTGCCAACGGCGTACCCGTCGGGGCGAGGCGGAGGCGGCGGTGGTGGTCAGGAGTCGTCTGCACCGCACAGCCTGCGTTCGCGTTCGCTGTGGGTGGATGTCGGTGTGCGGGGGCAAGGCGGCGATCGCAGCACCACCGCTGTGTTGGACGCCGCCTTGCAAGACAACGGCGAGAGCGACAATCACACGCACAGTAGCGATGACGATGACGATGCCGCTTCTGCGCGCCCGCGGCTGCACAGTGAGGGAGGAAGTGCGATGACGACCGGCACAGGGGAGGGGGAGAAGGACGCGCACCGTGCCTCGGCTGGCACGTGTGCCTTGACAGAAGCGGTGCTGGTGGCGGTGGCATTTCTCGGCAGCCGAGTCGTGGCGGTGGCGCTCCCTCTCCTACACGCTTCCGCGCAGGCAACGGGGGCGGCGGCGCAATGTCAGCGTCAGTGGTTGGACGCTTTACAGGCGTTGGCCGGATTACTGCTGGACACCCATCGTGTCCACCGCAGTCGTTATAAACTGGAGCTGCAGCGCCTTGTCGGTGGCGACGTCCGCAGCAGCAACAGTAGCAAGAGTAACGCATTCGCCAGCTCAGTGAACGGTGACACGGGGGCAGCAAGGCGAAGCAACGAGGCCGTCTCTGCCTCGCCGCTGCCGGATGCGTGGCGGGCCGCCAGCGTAGGCAGCCCCCGCGAAGGCTTTGCTGGACCACTCCGCACCTCCAGCCACGGCGACGCAGGAAGGTCCCCCACTTCGCCAACGCCACCTCGCTTTGCTACTCACGTGCCGACCGCGCCGTCGCCCTCGCTCTCCATCGAAGCGCAGTTCGGCGTCGGCACCTTCTTCGTAGCGCTTGTGCGAGCGCTGCTGCAACTACACGTCCAACGACACAACAGCGGCGGTGACGACGGCGCGTCTACGGCAGAGACGGCGATGGCGCAGTGCGTTTTTGCAGTGGCGAGCGTCATCAGCGACCTCCTACAAGATTACACCCAGCACCCTCCCGTCGCCCTCTGCGACGTTCTGGCGATGCTGTCTGTCATTCAGCTTCCCTCCTCGCCTGCGGCGGTGCCGGCTGATCAGGAACCGGCCGGACGTGCCGCTCCCACCGTGTGGCAGGCTCTCCGGGCATCGCCCTACTGGGACACGCAGCGCTTGGGTGCCTTGGAGTGTGCGAGTCGGGCGTGGAACGCACCTCCCGAGCCTTCGCCGCCGCTTCCGGAGAGGCGATGCTCCTCCGTCGTGTCGGACAGCACCGTGCCGCCTGCCCTCCCCGCTGCTCCACCACGCGAAAGCCTTCTCGGCCACGTTCCCTGTTCACGCGATCCAACCTCGATGTCGTGGCTGCCCACTACTCTCTCGTCAGCACGTCGAAATGATGATACAATGGAACTCAGCAGCGCACACGGTGGCGTGCACCACGCGCGAGGTTTACTGGATTTAATGGCGGAAGAAGAGGCGTTGCTGCTGACCACGAAGAGAGCAGCAGCAGCACAGTGCGCCTCCGTCACCGGCGAGGGGAACCTCGCGGAGGACGAGTCGCAGCAGCTGGCCATCGCGGTGGTGTCGTCTCGGCGCTACGCGTGGGCGCTGTCGCGGCTGCAGCTCTCGTGGAGTGACGCGCTCACGGAAGCGTTGTTTGCCGGCCGATAACACTGTGTTGTGGCAAAGGAGGTGAGGAAAGGAAGATAAAACACCTGCGTAACGGCGGGAGAAAGCCCTCCTGTAAATCCCTTCGGCGTTGCGCTGCTCTGTACTTCGCATCGTCATCGCAAAAGTGTTTTCTACGCGTTTTTATTTATTTTTATTTTTACTTCTTACTTGCCTGCTGCTTTGTTATGCTTTCGTTTCTCGCCATCCTCCAGCTGCTTCCCTTTGTGCGGACGGTCTTACAGAACCACGTGTGACGCCTCTCTCTCTCGTGGCCACCCTCTTTTTTTTCCCTTTTGGAATCTACCTCTACCGCGCGCAGACTTTATGCTCTGTGTGTGTGTGTAGGTGTGGTTTCCTTCTCGGTTCTGCTATTTGCGTTATTAGAAACGACTGTTGGTGTTTCTTATGACAGTCTGCCGCCTCTCATTCCGTGACTGCGCATTTCATGTCAGCGTAGACTCGTGACCTTTTTTGTTTCTTTTGTTGTCGTCGTCGTCGTCATCGTTGCTCCACGCTGCTGCCTCTTCCTTCCTCTCTCCCTCCCTCTCTCTCTCTCTCTCGACTTCTTATCCTTTCCTTTACCGGAGTTGTTGTTGTTTTGTTGCTGCTGCTGTTTTGGTTCTCGTCTTACGGCGCATATCATCTCAACGGCGTGCTGTTATCGTCTACCGCTGCGTCGTGCCGCAGCAGCCGCGCCGATCACAAACGTTCGTGTGAGAGCGAGACACGGCTTATTTCATTGAGAGCGAGTACTCCTTTGCCGTTCAAAGAAAGAAGCAAAAGAAGGACGGAAACGGGAGCACGTAGATGGAAATATTCCATACGCTGTTGGTGCTGCAGCTGTGATACGACTGGTGAAATATACATATATATACACAAGCATTGGCGACGGCGGTACGTGGAAGGGTGGAGCTGCCCAACGCCCTTACGCGCATAGATGACGTCGTCGTCGCATGCGACCTCCGCAGCGACACGCGGCGCCCCGCCTCAGGATGTGGTCGTGCAGACCTACAAAGCCGAAATTCAGCAGCTGAAAGAGGCCCTGCACGAGCTCGCGCTCCGCGACAGCAGCAATGGCAATCCAAGCTTCAGCGAAGTGCTGGAAGGCAAGTACCTCGCTCAGATTAAAAAGTGCAAGGCCTTTTCCGTTCAACTCGGCACCGCGCAGCAGCAGCTCGCGGACACCCAGAAGGCCCTGCAAGCCGAGCAGGAGAAAACGAAACGGTTGGTGGCCGCCGCAACGTCCGCGGCAGGTCTTTCCGTAGCAGGAAAGGGAAAAGGCGGTGGTGCAGCGCACAACAACAAGCTGGGCCGTGGAGCAGGTCCGTCCCTCAGCGACAAAGGCGAGTCCAACGCGGACGGCACCGACGCAGACGATGCGGAGGAGGGCGCGAAAGGTGCAGCGGTGCAGCGAGTTTACGACCAGCTGCATCTGAAAGAAATTGCGCTGGCCGAAGCGCAGCGCGAGAATGGAGCGCTGCGCTCGCTGATTAAGCGCGAGGTGGGTCTGCGCGATGAGACAGGCGACGTGGACGGGCTGCTGAACCGGACAACGGCAAAAGCCCCAAGTAGCGGTAGTGGAGCTGTCGTAGGGTCTGGTTGGCGCGGTCGGGCAGAGGAAATCGTGCTGCTGAAGAGCAAACTGAAGGACGCACAGCGGGCGGTGGAGGCGATGTCCGCAGCAGCAGCAGCAGCAGAGAATGGGCAGTACGATGACACAAGCCAAGGCAATGGCACCAACGTGCACAACGGCGCAGACTCGCTAGCGTTGCCGGCGTCGGTGCGGGCTTATTTGGGCATGGAGGAGTGCATCAACGCAGAGACGCGATCGGCGGCGACCACCACCACAACAGCAATTCGCCGAAGAGACGTCGACGACGAAGCGCGCGACCGACTGACCGCGATGCAGCAACAGCGCGCTGCTCAGCAACAACAACAGGTCGTCGATGCCGCGCAGCAGCAGCGGCAGCTGCAGGAGGAGAAGCTGCGGACGGCCGCGTTGCAGGCGCGCGTCAAGACCATGAAATCGGAGCTGGACACGCTGCGGACCTACGTGGGGACCATGTTGGACAAGAGCGCCACGGATGATGAGCTCGTAGAGGCCTATAAGCTGGAGGTGCGGCACGCGCAGGAGGAGATGCGGGAGTGGGTGAAGAACGCAGCGATGCAAGGCATCCCCAACACCGAAATGGAGAGCTTAAAGTTAACAGGAGTGCGAGATGGAGTGGGTGCGTTCTCCGCAGCAGCAACAGCAGGAACGAGAAGCGTGCCGTACCGCAAAGTGGCGCTGCCACCACCGTCGGCTGTCGCTCCTCCCGTCTCGGTGGCATCCGACGCAAGAGACAAACAGCCACCCGCATCTCCACATCCGCCGCAACAGCAACAGCAACAGCAGCAGCAGCAGTCATCGTCCTCAACGATGCAGCAAGACGTCGACGCGGTCGTGTACGAATGGGTCCGACGCGCCTGCCAAGAAGGCACTGCGAGGAAAGACAGGCGTGCAGCGGGCGCGGCGTCAGCAGCGGATCGACCATCACCGCCGCCGGCGAGCGCCGTGGCCGCCGTGCTGCGCAGTGCCTTAGAGCACGTGGCGCAGGTGGAGCGTCACGCGACAGCCGTCTCCGCGCTGGGGGGCGCTGATGCGACGTCGCGGGAAGGCAAGGCGTGCCCAGAAGAGGAGGCCGCCGCCACACAAGTCGAGAAGGTGCTCTTGATGGAGAACGCGTCCTTGAAGAAGCGTATGCGAGCCCTGACAGACATGGTGGAGCGCGAGATGGCGGCGCAGAAGGTGCTGTGGAACTCAAGAGATGCGAAGGGAGAAGGGAAGCACGATCCGTGACGTCTCGCCAAGGATCGACGCTCGCCGTTGTTGGTTGGGTGGTACCCCAACCCTAAAGGGTAACTGCGTTTGTAGACTGCCCAAACGCACACGTGCGACAAACTATTTTTTCTATAGTGAAGACCTTTGTACTACTCCACGGCGGCTTTGTTCTGTTGCTGTCCTGATAGGTTAACAACCAAGCCGTGTCTTCTCTTCTTCTGAAACACATAATAGTTTAACCACTGCTTTTGTGGACTTGCTGTTTCAGCCTGACATGTACGTTGACCACGACGCCTGCATGCTGCTACTGAGAAATGGTAATGATAATAATAATGGAAAGAGGAGCGTCGATAGCTACGTCGATCCAACATGCCGCAAATGTAGAGAAAGAAGAAGAAAAGCCGGGTGAAGATGGGACGAGATTGTTTTCGCTTGCTCCATGAACAAAGATAGACAAGACGCAACGCCGCCACCTTAAACGCTGATGCTGTTGAACCAAAATACAAAAATGTACTTCTTTCCTTCTTACAAACACCCTTCAATAAAAAAAAAATGTCGACCCTTTTTTTTTCTTCCTATTCCTGCTTTCGTTGCTCTTCTGATGCTTTCCAATACCACACAAAACTGCCACTGTAATGCACAACGACGTTGAGTAAAGGGAGAAAACCTGCAGTGAGCGTTCATTGATTTTTTTCCTTTCTTCTTCTTTCATCGAAGTCGTCCTCCGTTATTCCCTTCTCATTTTCGCGACCCAAAAAAAAATTTTCCACCACCACCACCACCCCCTCCCCTCATCTTCATATTTTCCTCATTGTTGCTGTAATATTGCAGCGCGAAGACAAAGGTGAAGGTACGTCAGCGGCTACTTCCCACCACCTTGCGGCGCTTCTCCTGCTCATATACATATACCCTT